GGGCACATCTTACACTGTAACCTAGGATACTGTTGCAGTCCATCTTTTCTGACAAGGTGTTCAGGCTTCTTTAGCAGTATGCAGAAAGACTTTGCAAGGAGTACATGTGCAGCTTACAAGTATAAAGCAATTGTTGATTGGCTAGCAATGAACAATATTGCTAGGATTTAATAAGCAGCCATCATGCTCATCATCCCTAGAAGATCCCTGAGGAGTCATTGATGGCCAGGAAGGCATCAGTCAGATGAGGAAGGGCTGGCTTCTGAGGATCTCTGGGACATAGCCTATGTGTTGCTGTGTTGCTTTCATTTCCCAGGTCAATTGACACAGATAGCTCTGCTGATGCCATTGAAGTTGGTGTTTATCCCTTTGAATCCTTCAGCATCTAAAAACGTGTCTCAACAACCTTAGTCTGGTGTGTGATTTTTCTTGTCTTGTTTTTCTGCAGACATTCTTAGAATTGCAACCAAGGAACAAAGGGAGTCGCAGATGGGCAGGTCCTCTGGAGGCGAGTTGTGGTTTGCACAAAGAGAGGCATGTATTTGCTGCCACAATCTGGGGAGAAGCAGAGAGGTGAAAGGGAAGTGCATGAACAGTATAACATAATATAAAATCCCAGCTGATTTTTTTGTGGCATCTCCTAGCAGCAGAAGCAGTTTAGGCAGGTCTCAAGAGGACTCAAGAGGAGCAGAAGAGGGGGTAGGGTGATAGACAGTTTTGCATGAAAGACTATGGCAAAGGCCTGTTTCATGCTTGAAGTTTGCTTTTCCTGGGGACAGGAGCTGGACTGCAGAGGATAACTCTGTCCACAGTGCCAAAACAATTGGGAATCCTCCAGATCAATGATGTCTCACTTTCTAGGTTGGGGTGTTTCTGCAGCTCTAACCACCCAAGTGAGAGGAGAGAGGAGATCATGACACAGACAAGCTTCATGCTACAAATTCAGCAGTACCACTGGTCCAGTATCCTGTGTGCTGGGGAACCAGCAATTAGGAGGCTTCTCCAGGCAGTTGTGCTTCATACATTAGCATGGGAGTCTCCAGTTCCTGCATGGAGCACAAAAGAAGTAAACCCAGAGGCCTCACAGAAGAAAGCAAGCACTTAGTTATCATCTCAGTGTGAGATGATGCAGTTTGCTTTTGAGCTGCTCACCTCTTTTCTGGTGCCCTTTGGGGTAGTTTTTTTATGTATGTGAGGGTAGCTCTGTAAAGGAAAGAGAGCGTGAATGTAGCTTGAGGTGAGTGTTTTTCTGACATGAATAAGTCAGTTTTGGCTTTGCTACACTGTTAGCCAGTAAGTTCTGAAAAAGAAATAGTATAATTTAGTAGCAGGGTGAACCAAAAAGCCCAGGCTACTTCAGGACTGTGGTTTTGACTTACCTTGTGGTTTTGGAGATCAGGCGTTTTGGGTGTTCAGTGCCAATGAAGAGTAGAGGTGGCATGGATTCAAGTGGAGCAGGAGAGGTGGTAGTGAGATAGATATTTGGCATAGAGGACAATGGCAAGTACAAGGTAACTCATCTTCTACATTAAGGACATGACCAGACAGGAGCTCTGTAGGGTTTAAATGCCTGCTAGAGCAGTCTGCAATCATGCCTCCCACCTCAAACACTGTAGACAAGCATATGCTCTTCTTTAGGCATCAACACGCAGAGACACATGAATAAGTAGCTCGGCCATCCGGAGGAGCTGGGCACTGGCACCACATGGCTATCATCATGACCCTGGGAAGTAACTTGATCAGGAGAGAGACTGAGCTCGGACTCATGGGTCAGCAGTGGAGAGACTCTCCTTAGAAATTTGCTAGGCCAACACATCATCTTGCATCTTGGTGGAGCACACTGTCTGGCTATTCTTATAGCATACTTGCCATCAGTGTTTAGTTGGTGCTTTCATGTTCCCACACTTCTGCATTGTACCCTGAGGTTTGATCACTGCCTGTCCAGAAATGATGGGCTGCAGCTCACAGGATTTGGTGCAGAGTTTCACAACAGCTTTGTCTGAGGCTGAAACATATCTCTGTACTTCAGAGAACTCCTTATCTTCATTGTAACGTAGCTAATTTCTGGTCTCTGCATGAGTTCCATGTTTCTCCTTGGCTATGGAAGAATGGGAAGAAAACAGTCAAACAAAAATTTTGCCTCTAAGGAAGAGTAGTGTTTCTGGGGCCCAAATTGTTGTTTATTTCCACTTATATATAGGAAGGGGAGTCAAATCAGTGCACCATAGGCTGGCAGTCCTTGAGAAAACAGGTTGAAGGTATTTCCACTTTGCTGTGAATGAGTGAATCACCTGGGCCAGGCCATAGCTGTGCTTTCCAACAAGTGCCCAAGAGATCTGAGCTGAACCAGAGGGGCGAACTGTTGCTTTCTGGCATGTCCTTTGGCCAAGAATGGCTGCATCCAGAGAGTGGCTGCATTGGTCAGGCCTGCCCCAGCAACAGCATCAAAACCAAGCTTCAGGATGCACCTCAGTCAAAGCTGGAGTGCTCTCTGGAGGGGTAAGGGTTGAACACAGGTGAATCTCTGAGGAAGAAAAAACACCTCCCCATGGTGTGAAAACAGCTGTGCATACAGTGAACCAGCCCCACTGAATATCCCAGCTTCAGCACCTGGGAAGCCCAAGGCATGCCTGTGGTGGTATTTGGAGCTGTGCCAGGTAGGGATGTGGATCTGGGTATCTGCATCACAGTAACTACAGCCCTGCTTCTCCATCCCCACTGTGGCAGTAGCACCACAGGGTCCTGCACCTGCAGGCTAACTGCAGCAAGCCGGGCACCCTGTGGCTCCCAAAGCACTTGGAGACCAGCTAGGTGAGGTCTGCTTTATTTCTGCTGTGAGAAGAGCTGCTTCCCTGTGGCCTTTGTATGCAGCTGTCTGAACTTACAGACTCCTGCCCTGTGCAGGCAACTCATGAGCTCCCTCTCAGGCAGCATTTGTGTCCTTTTGCCATGTGTTAGCTTTTGCCCAAGGCCAGCCCTTCCTTGCCTTTGAGCCTGATCAAAACTACATAACACCAACACTCTAAAGGAACAGCACTTCCAGTACTGTTTCACCATTGTTTTGCAGTGATGGCATATACAATATAAAATGTCTCCAACTACTGTATGCTGTGTGGTACTGGAAATCATCTTGTTTTGATCAATTAGCTAGAAGGAAAAACTTGTGCTGTTGGTAAGCAGTCTGATTGTCTCCAGCAAAATAAGAGCAATTATCTATTATTTTCTTCTGCTGTTGATCAGTTATGATAATGCAGGAGATCTGTAGGTTTAAAAGATAGAAAAGAGCCATTGTCTAGGCCATATAATGCAATCCAGTGGTTTTGTATTGAGCTTACAGTCTACTACATAAAGTTTGTGTTTATTTTACTCCAAGAGTCTGAGTTTTCTAAAGAACTCTTCCACCTGTAACCTAACTATACTTTGAGTCTTATCCCTTCTTAGCGTCTCTTCCCTTCTCCTCTCCTCCCCTCTCCTCTCCTCTCCTCTCCTCTCCTCACCTCTCCTCTTTTCCCTTTCCTTCCTCCTTTTGTTCAAAGGACGAGAAGAATCAGGTCTTGATCACAAATGCTTGGCTGCAGATGGTGAGTAACCTGTGTCAATAAAGATAAAAATCCCTTTCTAATATTAAACTAATGAATGTGATTTCGTAGATGAAAAGCAGGATTGCTGTCTTGTAACTTGTCTATAATGTGAAACAAGCAGATATTTTTAGTCCTTTGGATTCTCTCTCATGCTTTTTTTAACAATGAAAATTAAATGCAAGAGACTACATGAATCCTTTGAGCAGACCTGTTGATATTTGGAGGGTAAAACCAACTGCGTTGTTAGGCCACTGGGTGTAGGGGTCTAGTAACAAAGAACCCAATGTTAGAGTCCCACCATAGCTGAAGGATTCTTAAATAGGCTCAAGGCCTTCCCCAAGCCCGGTGACCCAGTAAGACATAGGCACCTTCACTTACAGCTTCTGGGAAAATCCCCACCTATGTCTGAAACAGTGAGCCAGGAGTGCCCCTGTGGAGAGCAGGGCACAAAGATCCCCAGCATTTGTCCCCTAACAGCAGTGATGAAGCCATGCATGGCCTGGGTGGTAGGGTGGCCAGGGACCACATGCAGCCCCACACTGCATTGCTGCTGGCAGTGCCCAGGCACATCATCAGGAACATTGCCTTTCCTTGTGCTTTCCAAGCCTCATCCATAAATGTTCCTCCTCCCTCTTCTGCAGCCTGCTCCATCTGAGTCGTCACTTGCACTGGTCATGCAGGATAAGGAAAACTGATCATCACTGAGGGCTTTGGGGGAAGGAGTTTCCCATCAGGTCTGCTGCTGGCAGCATACAGTGAGAGATATGGTCTTTTCTTATGGTGCGCAAACCAATCTCCTTAATGGCTTGCCCTCAGTAAAGATGCAGCTCTACAGCGGAAAACCTGTGGGAAACTTGAATGATTGAACCAATTCTGCTTTGACTTTAGAAGCCAAACACTATCTCATGTTAATGAGTGTAACTGAACAGGCTGTTTCGTCCTCAGCTACGTGCTGGGATTTGCAGCAGAAATGAGTTGTTCTCTATTGCAAAAACTAACCCAGACCAACCTAACAGGGCTACAGGATTGTTACAACAGAGCCTGTGGGTCTCCTATCCCTTGCAGAGATGTTCTTCAGTTATAACACTGGTAACTGTTTCCCTTGCAGCACTCCCATAGAGCTTTGCTGCAAGTCACAAGGTTCAGCACAAAAGCTGTGCCTGCACCTTTCTTGAATTAACTGTGCTGAGGTGAAGGAGAGGAGATCAGAAACAGCCCCTTGGAATATAAAGTTTACTTGCCTACCACTCACAGCAAGGCAGTTATTAAAAGAATCATCCAATCTTCGTAACACATTGATTTCCAGCAAAGAGGGACTCTCAGACTGTGGTCCATGTATCAGTGGTGATACTGAAGTCATTCAAGCCATGTCAGCTCAGAACCACTGTGCCTCATGGAGGTGTATACAGCCAGTGTTTCTGCCAGCCCACCAGAAAAGGTTTGGGATGCCTGGCTTGAGGCCACAAAGTGAAGAGTTTAGACACTAAATTTAAACACAGCTCACAGCATTCAGTTGTCACACTGTGGATTCCTCAGTATACATGCCACCATTTCTTAATAATTAAAGCTGAGCATTAAACTATTATTGTACTACTGCTATTGCTACTGGGAAAATCCATTCTGTTCCCATAATATTCCAGACGACTTTGAAGACTTTTACCAGTTCATATAATCTGATGTATGTATTTGCCAACAGTACTGGATTGATGTTTACTTGTCTTGGGATCAATATGAATACCCAGGGGTGCAGAACTTGCGATTTCCAGCTGACCAGATTTGGGTACCAGACATTCTTCTGTATAACAGGTAAGCAAGATGTGCAACAGTTGATGGGAGCCTAGAACTAGAGCATTAGATGCTGGAAATCAGCCATGCTTCACTGATATTCTGGGTTTTTTTGCCATCTGGGGATTTGGCTCTTACTCTTGAAACAGTAACAATAAAAGCAATCACCAGTTAATTGATTTTTCTAATATCCAGTCTGAGTCTTCCTTGTTGTAGTCTGCAGATGTCTTCTTTACGTTTTCCTCATGAATGCAGAGAGAAAACAATTCCTATTCTCGTTACAATCACCATGACTGTCCTGGAAAATCATTATCATGTCTCTGCCACAGTGTTCCTGCCTGAACTAAACAAATGGATTTTCCTCTCACTTTGCTCATCACTCATATTTTATAAATCTCTCCATCATTCCTCTTCACCTCTGAACACTCTCTAATCTCTTTTTCCACCTTCAGAGCTGAATCCAGCTCTCTAGCCAGCACTTCTGCAGTATTGAATGGAGTGGAAGCTCTCTGGACAGATGTTTCCGTAATGCTTTCCAGGAGGCAGGAATTTTGGTTTTACTCTAACATCTTAGTTTTGGACTTATTTTTTGTTCTATCACAAACACCAGATGTAGTACTTCAGCCTTGCTGTCTTACTAGATTTTCAGTGATCTGTCTTTCTCTGACAGTTTTAGGGGTAATAATTTCTAATGATCCAGATTTAATTTAATTTTGTTGGTTTCCCCAGTTCACCAAGATCCATTTTCCATTCCAAGTCCTCACTACAAAATATCTGAAGGGGGTTTGGAATGACCTGGATTGTTTAAATGTTTCTCTTTCTTTCAGCTTTACTCCTCACAATCTCTTTATTCCTTTTCAGTCTCTAAAAAGAGACATGTAGCCTGGCCCATATTACTGTAGTTTGTTTATGAAAACATGATGTGGCAAAGGCTTTCAGAAAATCAGATGTATCACCTGCCTCCTCTTACTCAATCAGTAAGAAAATCAGAGTGATTTGATGGAGTTGGCACGTGACAGATCTGTGCCAGCTGTTTTACCTCATTATCTTTGAAGTTAGGCTGATGTGTCTGTAATTTCACCTTTAAAAAAAAGAAAACTAGAATTCTCTTTGATCTTCCCTGCTTCACCGAGCCCTTCCGTGTTCTCCACCAGCTCTCACAAATAATTGTTAATGCTTCAGAGGGTATTTCGGCCAGTCCCTTCAGTTCTGAAGAGCAAATTTCATCAGCCCTGCCAACTGGAATCTGTCTTATCTACAATTCTTTAACCTGTTCCTCCCCTATTCTGGCCTGGACTCCTGTCACTGTGCAAGAATTGTGGTGTGCCACAGTTTGTGAAGAGTGAAGCACAGAGGGTGCAGGGTACTGCAGCTTTCCTTTGTTTCCACAGCAAGTAATGGATCTATCTGGTCTTAGGTCTTTTCTTTGTTTCCTTGCATTTGTAAAAACCTTTCTTGTTGCCTTTTGTGTCTTTTCATGGTTATCACTCATTCTACACTTAGCCTTTCAATTTTATACCCTTTGTTTTGTGCTACGGATAATACTGATGACTGAGGACACAGACATAAATAAAGAGCAGGTCACAGGAGGAACAGAGGGCCTGAATTTTCCATATCTGGTTGTGAAACAGGGTGAGTAAGATAGTGTAGTCATGTGTGGTAGATCTGCATATAGCCATGACAGGCAAGGCCTTACAGCATCAGCCAGGGGAAACCTCCGTTGTTAATCTCTTCCCAAGAGACTCTCTGGAGCAAGCTTCCAGGCCTGCTCTGTTGAAGAACTCTTGTCCTTGCCTGTCTCATTAATCTCTTATTTTTCTTAGAATTATTGGAATCCTAAAGAAATTATCTTTTCTTTGTCCCTTTAACTTAGTTTCTGCTCTTAGAGTCTCAATAAATCTCCTCCTACAAGCCTCAAATCTAAAGCAACTTCTCCCGAGTCCTTCCTCCACTGCTTGAAGCAAACCCTTGGCCCTTCTGCATCCTATGAGACTGCAGAATTGTTGCCTCAGGCCACCGTTACTCTTGCAATAGATATCTGGGTAACAGATAACTTTATTTACAGTGAGCTGCCTGATTCTGACAGCAGCCCCAGAAAAGCTGTCATTGTCCCAACTGTCCATCCTTTGGATACAGCTGCTGTGACACTTTTGCTCCTTTCACTTCTGCCTTTACTCTGAGACATTCAACAGCTCTGCCTCTCACTTCTTTGAAGACATTGCAGCATGCAACTAGCACGCCTGGGTTCAGGCTAACAGTGTCTGTGAGAAGCTGAGATACTTACCAAGGGCAGACTCTTCACCCAGGTGCAGGACACTAATTCAGACATCCTGTGCATTAAATTGAGCCAAAAGATTGTTTTTACGTTGCCAGTTACTACATCTTGACTCAAATATTATCTTGCTTTTTCTTTGTTTTGTTTTGTTTTCTTTTGTTTATACTGTGTTATAGTGCAGATGAAAGATTTGATGCAACATTTCACACAAATGTGCTGGTGAATTACTCTGGATCCTGCCAGTATATTCCTCCAGGTAGGCACAGAGAGCATTTGTTTGCTTTAAGTCAAGTAAGTACAAACAGTTCTCCTTCAGGAATTAAATGAAGGTGTTTAGAAGCAGTCTGTGGAAATTTTGCAATTATGGGACAGACCCACTGAGGTAATTTAAGTCCGTTATCAGTGGCATATTTCCACTTCACAAATCAATAAATCACTCTCCTGAGCAATTTGCTTAGAACATTAAGAGGCCCAGCTGAGGTGTTGCCTAAAGCAAGGTGGTATGCACCCTCACATCACGTTCCATGTACAATACAATTAGCTCTTTCATGAGAGTGGAGAGGCTTGTGACCACAGGAGACCTTGAGAGCAGCACTCCTTCTGCAGTGAAGTCCTCCCTGCCAGGCTGAGGCTGCAAGTCCAGGTGAAAAGACAAACTGAGACTGGTCTCACACAGACAGACCTGAGTCTCAGCCTGCTTTCCATCTGTATTGCCAATTCAGTGCCTGTAGGGCCCAGCAGCCAGGACCTACCAGCAAATACACAGGCCATCCCTACAGTTGCACACTGTGGTGGATAAGAAATGCCCAAATTTATGTCATAGCTGCTGGCAGACCAACCTCAAGCATGTCCACAGGGCCCACCGAGGAACAAGTGGTTCCCGATAGGGCTGGTCCTGATAGCCCTTCCCTGATAGGGCTGGTCCTCTATTGATCCCTACCCCTGAGACCCTTAAATCATCCCTGTGGTTTCACTGGGACAGACCCATGGATAAGGTTGCTCGCCAGAGAGCTACATGAGAAAGGAATAAAATGGCATGTACCAGAGCAGAGCCTTCTGCATCCCTCCAGGTAAGAAGGTGATGCAAAAAGTGCCTATATAAGCAGATTAGATGTCCTGCTCATCTCTTGGTGAGCTACGAACTCCATGGTGAAGAACTGGTTACTTAAGAACCCAAGGAAAGAGTAGAGAGGAAAAAAATAATAACCTAAACTTGTTGTGTGAAGCACAGAAAATCCTTTGTTACAGGGATTTAACTGCTGCTGAACTACTTCACAAAATTTTACAAGGAAAATTTGATAATCAGCCTACTGACTGTAACAAGGGCTCACAGAAACAGCTAGATTAATCAAGACACTAGAAAGCATGGAAGAGTGGAAAAGATGGTGTTTCCAAAGCTTCATGAAAGTTTAATTTCCCATGACTGAGAGCAGGCTCTCCATCAAAGAAAAAAGATAGGTGGAGGAGAGGGAAAGGACAAGAAGGGGACAGCTGTCTGCTGTTAAGAAAAAGAGCAGAGCCAAGATTCAGGAGAAACTGGGAGATAAGTCTCCATGTAGCCCGTCCAAAAATGGCCATGACGGTGGGATTCAGACCTCCCGAAACTTAAAGGGACAAATGAAGGGAACACAGCCACCCCAGAGCAGCAGAGTTTGTGCAGGGACATGGTCTTGCACACACGGTTATGCCACAATACCCTCAGCCTTTGTGACAGCAGGCAAAGACTAATCAAGGATCTCTTTTTTGGGGGGATTTTATCTTCAAAAGACATGGCTCAAGAACTTACTTCAAAACACCAAACTCCACTCGGCTAGGTGACTTGGAGCTGGAATTCACATTAGCTGATGTTTTAGGAAGCATGCAGAAACAATTACTGCAAACAGGTAGGCTAAGTGCAGCATTGGAGATAATTTTCCAATTAAGCAGAAACTGCCTGTCCTTCACACAGTGCCTCTGAACCAGACAGCAAGCAGTGAGCTGGTGAGGTTAAGGTGAAGGCTGCAAAGCTACGGGCCCACAGGAGTGAGGGTTTGCAGGGATGACCTCTGTGCTTTGCCACCAGCTGCCAGTGATGCAGGCTGCGTGGATCATCTTCCCCACTCTCCAAGCCCTCCATGCTGCTGGACAGATGGGGAAGTACTGCAGCCATAGCTGTGCCCAAGAAGAAAGTTTGGAACATCCATAAGTTTGTTCAGTTTTTTTTTTTTCTCTCAGCTGAATAACAAAAAAAGGGAAATAATTAGTTTGGAACAATATACAAATACTAATCTCCTAAACTGTTTAAAATGTCACATGAAATAATAATCCAGATCAAAATTCAAGGCCCAGGCTAAAATATAGAAGATAAAGGCCAGCACCGAGTACGGTTTAACACAATAACATATTTTCAAGGGACTGTGTGTCTAATGCAGGGCCTGACAAGGAACTCCTTTCAAAGAGCTTGTCACCATACTTCCAGCCACAGTGTGTGCACATCTATGTACACTACACTTCTGTCAGGCCCTGCAGCACTCCCTTTCCTGGGGCCAGATAGCACCAGGAGACAGGTTGGGCTGCTGTGGGTGGCCAGAGTGTCCTCGGTGACCTACCTCAAGGATGCAATGAAATAGATCTTCACTGGTACCCAGGAAGGGAGGTTATTCCACTCATGGCAGCGTCTTACACCTGCACTACTTGTTGGGTTACAGACTTTTGGAGAAGAAAGTTGCTCACAGTCGATTGGACAGATAAGGATGAATTGCACACTGCACATGCTTGATTCTGACTGATTTCTATCCACAGGCATTTTGAAGAGCACATGCTACATTGATGTCCGCTGGTTCCCCTTTGATGTGCAGAAGTGTGATTTGAAGTTTGGCTCCTGGACTCACAGTGGCTGGTTGATTGACCTGCAGATGCTCGAGGCTGATATTTCCAACTATATCTCAAATGGAGAATGGGATTTAGTGGGTAAATCAGCTGGCCTAAAAAATTTCAGTAGCCTAATGTTCAAAGGCAAACCCCAAATATATAGAAATAATCTATCCCACTGGGACATGCAATGCAGATATTAAAAGTTTATATGTAAGAAGCAGAAAAAAAAAAAAAAGAAAAAAATCACAGATCAAAGACAATCTTTCAACTGCATTCACTGAACTGTGTCTGAAAACACCGTGTTCTGAAGCAATTGCCTGCAACTGAGTATATAAATGAAATCTACTAGTTTTGATGCATCTGAGCAGTTTCTCAGTACTAGACTTGGATGTGCCTCATGTGGGTGTACGGAACACTACTCTAACGTATCAGCCAAAAATTGATTGGTGTAAAAACAAACGCTATTTCAGCAAAATTGCAATGAGCTTTTAGAGAGATGAATCTCTCTCTCCCAGAAAACCATCAAAGCATCTACCAGTTCATAGTAACTGCAAGTAATTGCAGTTCAGTATGTCTCTCTTCCTTTCTGTCCTTTGGAAGATACCTGTATTTTTAAAAGATGAATCTATGCCTAGAGCTAGTTATTCAGAGTGAGCTCCTAGTGAGTTATTTTGAACTCATTCCTGTAGCTTAAATCAGAGGCAATGCTATGGAAATTGATAGAGCTTAGACCACCCTAAGGAGAACATGCAGAAATGACATTTCATCTGCTAGTCTGGCTATGTAGACAAGGAAATAACTGGCACTGACCAACTGCATCCAGTAGTTTTACCATTCAGGGCATGTGAGAAATAATAGAATAAGAAACATAATCAGTCTTCAGATTGATGAGGAGCTGAAGGACTCCATAGGGAAGTCCTCCTAAAGTCTGTCCATTTCACAGCATACTTGACTTTCCAATGCTCCATTGTAGTGGTTATTTCTGTCCAATAACTTTGCGTATCTTATTAAGAGATGGCCTGTGGTGTATCTGCCTTCAGCCCTGACCGAGGGTGGACAATACAGGCCCTTATCTGGCTTATACAGCAAAAGCATTAAGTAACACCTCAGGCAAGCCATAGCCATATCCTTTCTGGAAAATTTGCTGTGCTCCTGCCAAATCTTCCATGTGCACAGTAACAAAAAAGAGGTGAACAATGGTGGTGTGAAAGATACAAGGTGCTGAGTTCTTCCAGCTCCCCAAACATTTCCTGTGCTGCTGCAGTCCTTGCCACGCAGAATCTCAGTCAGTCTACTGCAGCTGCGTCACCATGGCCAGCCCTGCAGTACAGCTATATTGTACAACTATGTCTCTTAACCTTCAGAAATGACAGACTTTAAGCTTAACTTGACACCCCTTTTGAATATTAAGCCATATCTGGTTTGGTTTTCCTGACAAAACAAAGTAAATGTTTATAAGAGAATGACAGAAGAAGAAGAATCAGTGGCACTTGTCATGCAGAAAATCTTCTGCATGGGCTAGCGAACATGACATGAGCTGTTTGTTACCATTCTCTGCACGCAGTAAGGCAGAATGCATGTTTTACTGAGTTAATCCTTGACCACTTCTTGCAAATCTGTCCTTGTTGAGGTTCAGATGCTCAGAACTGTTTTGATCTGTCCCAGATGAGCTTTCTTGGCTAAGCCAGGTTCTAATGACTCAAGGCATGAAAATAAACCTAGAAAACAACAGAAGGTGGACTAGGAACAGCAGACATCTTGCAGTGTTGCCTTAGATGTTGCTGAAGACTCTGACACACTAAGAGTTACCTGGGCTCATTTAACCCTGTAGTGGTGTATTTCAGCTTTCAATCGACATTGGAACTAGGCACATTGTCCTTTGTCCCCTTTAATCTCTTCATCCATGTGTGCATCTTTGGCTGCAAGTGACTTTTGCCTGGTAAAGGATTTGGGGGTGTCTTTTCTCCCTTATCAATTGCAACAGGACACTTCAAAGCACTCTTCACTGCACCATGTGTGGCAGAGATGCCACACATTGCCTCATAAACCACCAGTTGTTGGCCCATTCCAAGAGGAAACCCGGTGTCTTGCACCTCTCCCCACTGCTCTGATCTCCCTCTCTGTAGGTGTCCCAGGAAAGAGGAATGAGATGTACTATGAATGCTGTAAAGAACCATACCCAGACGTGACATACACCATCACCATGCGCCGACGCACCCTCTACTATGGCTTGAACCTACTCATTCCCTGTGTTCTCATATCTGGTTTGGCACTTCTTGTTTTTCTTTTGCCAGCTGATTCAGGGGAGAAGATTTCTTTAGGTAAGTGCTAAAGAATTAATTTCTATTGTAAATGCTTCCTCTAAAATGGAAAATAAATACCTCATGGTGCTTGATGAATAAAGATTTCCTTGGAGGAGCAATAGGAGCACTTGTTTGGTTATAGAAACCAGAGTAACAGCTTTATGTATGACAATCACACAGCCTGTGATAAACAATTCTAAAAATTTTTTTTATTTTACCCTGGGATGAGACAGAACTTGTCACTGGAACAGGCAGCAGTGATAGTAGCCTGTCATTCCTGTTGTCTTCTTTAGTACATCTCAGTGCTTTTCACAGCTGATTGTGTTTTTCAAATAGCACATACTAAGACACAGAGAGTGAAGGCTTGTGAGCAGTAGCAGCTGGGCATTGGATTTTCAGCTCCCAAGTTCAGCTCCTAAACCACCAAGCCATGAGTTCCCGGTGAATACAAAACAGTGACAGCCAAGGAAGTGCTAAATGAGGTTCACTGCTGTGTGTGTCGATAAAGACAGGAGGAGGGCTTCCAAGAGAAGACAGGGGAGAGCTGGAAATACACTAGACTGTCCCAGGCATGACCTCAGGAGTTGATTGTGCACAGCTCCACTCAAGATGGAGAACTTTAAATCGTATGAAGTGCCCTCAGTGTTAGTAGAACAATCAGGGATCTGAGCAGCCTGTCTCACAACAAGTAAAAACACAGGCTATGGGGAATACAATTGCTGTCTATGAAAGACAGGATGGAGACAAGGAAAAGTTATTTGAGCAGAAGCACAATGTTGACACAAAAACAGGAGATAATGTTGATGCATTGATCTTGTGATTTCTCAGTATTAGGGCAGTTAGGTTTAGCAACAGTCTTTCCAGATAGAAAAATCATAAAGCTTCTTTTAAAATGGACTGCAGCTCTTTGGAGGGTGTTACATAATATGCAATAGTCAAAAATTAGACTTATGTATGTGCAAGTCTCTCCTAGCCCTTAATAACACCTTTTGTTAGCATTATGTTTTGGAAAAGCAGTGTAGTTTACCAGTTCTGCAAGCTTCATTTCACTTGGAAGGAAAGATTTCTCCATTACTTTTAGAGAGGCAGGAGTTTGGGTATAATAGAGAAAAGTGAAAAGACAGCACATAAATTTGCATCCAAAAATGCTCTCACTTTGTGGAAGTTCTCGTCTGAGCTGACAGGCATGAAGTCATGGGTTTGGCTTAGCCAAGATCAGTACAGGGTTATATTTAACAGCAAAGACATCAGAGCAGCAGCTGCAGAGTTCATGTTCCTCATCCTTCCCCTCCACGTTCACTCCCTGCAGGTATCACTGTCCTGCTTTCCCTGACTGTATTCATGCTACTTGTGGCTGAGATCATGCCTGCAACTTCTGACTCAGTCCCACTAATAGGTAAGTTGATTTTGTCTGCTTTGTGCACAATGTACAATGCTTCTCAAGAGTCGTTTGAAGCCTATTTGAGGGCTGACCTTTTTTGTTACCATTGTTTTGCATTTCAGCAATGTCAGGAGTAACATAAAGTCTGGGCTTTACAGTTTACCTGTATGAAAACAGCCTGCATGAGAGGTATAAAAAGGTTTTGGAAATATCAGATAAGATGGTAACTGCAAGGATTGAGGGGACACGGCATCCATACCAATGTGCAGGTTTGCATAGGCAAAGCACAAAGCCAACAACACCAGTGCACAGGCATGAGTGGTATACTGGAATAGTACTCAGCCCTGGCTATGGATTCATTGTGTGGGTCCATAAAGTCCCTTCAACAGCACTTGGGACAAAACTGTGTGTACAGAGAGCTCTTGAAGATCTCAGTGCTGCTAACTGGAGAAAATTAATCTTTCTTCTTCTTTATCACCCGCCCCTCCCTGCTGTTATGCATCTCTTCCCCACCACCCACTTCTCCTCTTCCCTCTACCCCAAGAGCAACTCAGCATACTACAGTCAAAATTAAAATATATCACTGAGATATTTTTAACATGTGCTCAAAACTATGGGACAGATTATCATCTTGGGAATTGTTACATCCTCTGTTTTCATAGGACCACCCCTTTACTTAATCTCACGGACCCTCAGTTTCTTAGGTGTGGACTGCAGAAAGCATAATTCCATGACCTCATAGCAGGGTAGAGAAAATAAAGCTGTTTAGTTTACGAAATAAAGAAGTATGAACATCACAGGAAAACTGAAAACCTGATTAATTAACATTTCCTGAGCAAAGGTCTATCTTTGCCTGCAAATCATGACTGAAGCACACATTTCAGACAGTAGAAATAAACAAAATATTCAACAATATTTCTAGTTGCTGTTGGAAGGTGCACCTCACCATTGTAAAGCCTCACACAAGTTATATCATGAATAGGACAAAAGAGCATTTACTCAGACAAACCACCTCGTTGTCTCACTTCAAGGATTAAAACCTCAGACCTGACTCTGGGGACTGAGTGTGACTATGTAACAGTAATGCCTGTAGGCCAGAGTTTCTGAAAGCCTCCAAATAACTTTGGCATCTTATTGAAATTTAGAAGGACTCTTGCCTCTGAGTCACACAGGAGCTTCCAAAAAACTAACAAAAGCTGTCTCTGAACATATACATAGGACTCTACAGACACAGATAGAAATTTAAGAGAAACTTTGTGTGGAGGAGACACAAGACATCTTGGATCAGTCTTAACATAATTTTGCTTTGTGTAATACATAACAAAAAATATTTGCAATTGGCAAAGGGATGCACTTGCCTATGCTTAGTCCACTAGCTTTAACTAGACCAGTTTCTACTGATAGAGTCCCTATCATAGAAGGTAAGATTTGTGCCAAGAAAAGCTATGAATAGTTATGTATTATTACAGATTTTAATACTGTAATAACAGATTAATTTCTAGTTTATTACAGCATATCTATGTGAACATCACATATCAGGAGAGGGTGAGGGGCAGTGGAGAACCCTGTTGCATCAGCTTCCCCTTCTTCAGATTAATATTGGATCAACTATTAGGACATATCACATATTTTTGGATCACAAAGTCAAGGAGATCATAAAGGAGTTTATTCTCATGAGTATGCCTCATTGACAGCATCTACTGTTCAAGTTTTTTCCTAATGCCCAAATAATTGGAGTGTGTCCAATGTATTAGAAATGCACCTCTCAAAGTTGTTATGTAGGTCAAACACAGTCTATTTCTTTCATCTGCTCATTAGACAAATTTTATATTGTGAAACATGTAAAAGAACAATCCTTGCACATGGATGCTTTGTGACAGCCTAGAGACTAACTTCAGCTATCCAGATGAGGGATGTCTAAAACAATCCTGTGGCTACTGTCATCTGATGCTCCCCTGTTGCAGCCCAAAAGTGAACTGAACCTTGACACACTGCAGTGCACTCAGGCTGTGTGCTCTGAAACTTGACCATCCCCATGCAATGGAATCTCTTGTTTTATAGGATCACAAGATGGTTCAGGTTGGAAAGGACCTCAGGAAGTGCAAGACTGTGTCAAAAGCCTTGCTAAAGTTGATCTAAATAAAATCTACTGCTCTCCCCTTGTCTGCAAATGTCTTCATTTTATTATAGAACGCAACCCTGTTGGTCAGACATGCTTTATCCTCGATAAATGCAGGCTGGCTGTTCCAGTCCCCTCCTTCTCCCTTAAGTGTCCAGAACTGTTCTCCAAGGACTTACTCCCCTATTTGCCCAGGGACCAAAATGACAGGGCTGTAGTTCTCTGGACTGTTGGACTTTCTTGAAGATAGGTGCAACATCTGTCTTTCTACAGTGGTTAGGGATCTTAGCCCATCTCCATAGCCTCACAAGAATACCCTTAGGGCTCTTGGTGACATCTATCTGGTCCCATGGACTTGGGCAGGTTCAGATCTCAAATCAGTCCCTGACTCCGCCCTTATCCACTGATGGTTGTTTTCCACACTTTGAGCTGTATCTCTAAGCACAGAGACATAGAAGACCTTGATGGTGAAAATTGAGGCAACGTACACACTCTCTGGGCCTTATCTCTATTTGCTGTCACTAAATCATCCTCCTCATCAGCAGCAAGACCATGTTTTCCTTGTTCAGCTTTTTACTGTTTGTGTAATGGTAGAACATCATCCTGTTGCACTTGACTCACTTGGCAGACTCAACTCCTGAGCTTTAATATTCCTAACACAAACCCTAATGCCCAGGCAATGCTTCCAAGTTTTCCTTTTGCAGCCTGTCCCTGCTTCCCACATTGTCCCCTCTTCAGCACTGGAGCTCCACCATGAGCACAACTTAGCCATGCTTATTTCCTGATGTGTCTACTTATTTCTCTGACTAACAGAAGAGACGTTTCTTGCACTTGGAGTCTGCTGTACTTTAAGTCCTCAGAGTTTTCCTGTGCTGCTTTATCGTTCAGAACTTTGCCCAGCGGTATCCCAGCTACTAGTTTCCCAAAAAACCAAGAATTCTGTTCACCTGAAGTCCAAGATCTAAGCTCTACTGTTCTCATTTCTCACTCCCTTCATGGTCTTTAACTCCACTATTTCATAACTACAGCCTAGACTGGCATTGATTATCATGATCCAAACCAGGTCTTGCTAGTGAAGAGCAAAGCCAGGTCTGTGCACCACCTCTGGTTGGCCTGTCCTATACTTGTACCAAGAAGTTCTCACTGACATCCTTTAGAAATCCTCTTGACTACTTGCATTACACTGTGTTGCCTTTTCAGCAAATGTCAGGGAGGTCCAAGCTCCTTGTGATACCGAGGCTTCCCTGAATTGCTTTAAGAAGGCCCCATCCCCATATCCATTCTGTTTGAGTGGTCTATAATGCACTCCCACCACAGCATCACTCTCGTTGGCCTCTTCACTGAATCTGACCTACAAGGTCTCCAGAAGCTCTCATCTATCACATAGAGGAGCCCTTCACACAGAGGGCAACCCATGTTGTCTTTGCTGTCTGTTTCCTCTGAAGAGCTTGTATGTATGCATCAGAGCATGCCAGTAGTGAGAGATGTCCCTCCACATTTCAGCTGTCCCAGCAATGTTATGTTTCAGACAACACAACCAGAGTTGCAGCTCCTCCTGTGTATTCCCTAGACTTCATGCATTTGCTCACTCTTGAGGTGAGCTCCTTCACCTTGTTTCACCATTCCTAAGGCCTTTTGTGATCTGGCCACTCAGCACCATTTTTTTTCCACAGTTGTCCACTGTTTCTCCATTGAAATTTGGGTTGTAATTTCCATTCCACGGTATTCCTACTTTAAAGCCCTGCTCTTAACTCCTTGCTCCACTCCAAATAGACAGGGAAAGACTGCTCACCCATTCAGCTTCTGCATCAAAACAGCCCTTGTTCAGCATGTGCTCAAAGCTAGGCTGTGTGGTTTTACATGATATTGAGCTCTGAAAACCTCATCCTTACTCTAACAGGCTAGCACAGCATAATCTCTCCACAGCGATCTTGTAGATGATCCCCAATGGGATATTTAACTGCTGAGCTGGATATACCAGGTCGTGATCACAGTTCTTCAGTGTCATCTCTGGTCCAATTAAAAATTCTGAGAAATGAGTGTGAGGAAAAGGAGGACACTTGGACAGCTTGTTCAGTCTTTGCAGAATCAGCACCGTTAGTGCCAGGTTACAAGAATAATTAAACCTTCTAAAGCCTGTGGTTTAAGAAAGATGTAAGTAATTTGAAAGTAAGTACAAAGATCTGTTGTGAGTCTGCAGAAAAGCTACTGTTATTAGTCTTCATGCATGTTGGAGCAGAGATGCTCTGAAAACATGACCCCAAACACTTTAAAAATCTGCATTACATTCTTAGGATCTGTGGTTTTGAAAACAAACGTGCATCCACACCTACCTGGACCTGGATGAACACTCCCAGCCTTTGCTGCAAAACAAAACCACTAGCACCTAATACACTGTCCTCTTAATGTTTCTCTGCATTCTGACCTCAGCTTTAACTGCTGAACTGTAATAACATGTGAAATTCTCACAGCTGCTGTTTGGAGTGTCTTTGTTGAGAGCGAAGGAAAGCTGGTCTAATATGGCACCAAGAAAAAACTAGCTTCTGAGGTCAGGTTATAGTTGTGAAGAAATGTGGAAATTATATCCTGATTCCTCTTAGTTAAGGTCACTCTCCCTTGACTTCAACTTACATTTACAATAAATGAAGCACACCTCAGTCTAAATAATCACAAAAAAGCAGATGGGGCATGACAGTTGCTTTTTTCTACCTCTATTGCAAAGTGGTTCCCCCTTCCTTGGTATGTCCTCTGTATTCTCTGTCTGTTCGTAAAGCTGCCCAGAGCAGAGAC